AAGAAAGAATAAACTAGTTTAAATTAAGAAAGGACTTGCATCGCTGAAGTTTTTCGGAAATAATTTATATTGGAAATTAACAAACGAGCAGATACGTAACAATATATATCATCAATGTACAACGCTTACGGTTTTCCATAAGGTTAATTTTAAAACAAAACCCTTTAAGATTTTAAAACTTGTTCACATTTAACTTTTAGTTAATTTTCACGAAAAAATATAGGAATATTACATATATGCATTCAACTTCTACAAAACATGAAGGTTGAGTATCTTACATTAAAATGATTTTTTAGCTGCACATCACATGACAACCAACTAGCAATGGAATTTAATGTATCAGAACTACAATGTTACATTGTTTAACATAATGGTATTTTTAGGTAAAACCAAGTTCCCGACAAGTATCAGGCAGGTAAACCTTAAAATAACAGCATATTCCATCAGAATATAAGGGTAGTGTTCTGTAGTAGATAACTTGAATGAGTCTTCCTAATGTGTGTAAACCAATGAGACTTTCATAAAGTTGATAAAAATGAAAATATTTTTATTATTTTACAAACAATAAAATGCAGTGTATGTACTTGTGAAAATAAAACGACAATTGTTTCTACTAGGTTTCGTCTAACAAAACACGATGCTCTACAAAATAAGCCTTCATATAGAAATCTCCAAGTATGATTGGCTACAGAAAGTAAGCCTGAATTAAACAGGTAAATTCACTTTCTTCAGTCATATCATGGTCATCTCATGACCTTTGTTCCCTTGCATCTCTGATTGGCTATTACATTCATTCAACGTCATAAGCGCCAGCAAAGGACATTACAGAGCCAATCCTTTTAACTTGGTTATTATACATGTTATTGTAATATCCTCTCAGGCAGAATAGACAGCATCTATTACAGAGAATAAAGAAACGAAGCAACTGGAACAAGGTAACTGTAACAACTTTCAGGGTAATGTGTTGCCGCCATTACAGCACGAAAACTAAATAACGAAAAATTTAAGAGTTGACAGACTAACGAAAAAATCTCACCAATAAAAACAAAAAAGGAAAAGAAAACAATATACATAAAAACTTTAACAATGATTACATATTTTAATTTTTACGAAAATTAATGGTTGCTCCCTACTCTAGAGAAGGGGTAGTCCAACTATAAAACTTAAGATAATTTTGCCAAATACTTTAAATGATAAATACAAAGTAAACAAAAAACAACACCATTAAAATCAAACATCTTAGAAAATAATTAACTACCACCTTAAACATCCAAAAACAAACCCCTTTAATTATGTGAGTACAGCACAGAAAGCCCATTGTGTAGTTTTGCGCTAACAACAACAAAAAAACTATTTCTATGTGAGCGCGAGCCCAAAAATAAAAAAGGAAAGTATTGTTACGTCTCCGTTTGTTAATTAACTTTCCACTGCTGTAATCTCTCTTGTTTATTTTGTTGTTCGAGCTGCCACTGTTGCAGGTTTTCTTGCAAATGCTGTAATCTCTCTTCTTGTTTCTTTTCTTTTTCCTCCAACAACTGCTGTAATCTCTCTTCTTGTTTTTTTTCTCTTTCCTCCAACAACTGCTGT